GTCCCTTTTTAAATCATTCTGACCATACTCTCCTGTCCAGTGTCAAACACAAATACAGATAACAAATAAAGTGAGGCACTCTGGAAGATAAAATTCTAGCCCATATGAGTTGGTCCTCTACACCTAGGAAAATCCTGCTAATCTTTTAAAATACATTTCAGCAGCTAATTCTAATGCTGGTTTTATTCATCACTCTCTCTCTTTCTCTCTCCTATATATAAGGCACATATTGGAGATGGTGATACCTAAATATAGCAGTCTAAAGCTTCACACCAACACTTGGTTCATGTAGGGCATTCCAGAGACATTTTTCTCTATTTCATGTATGTGTCTGTAGCAGTTAGTCAGTACACATTCAATGAGCAGTGCTTGGTTCTGCTTCTTTCAATACAAACTAAGTGCAGTGTTATTTCATGGACACATCCTTAGTTGACACATAAATAATGAGACTTAAGAAAGTGGTCATTGTTCATGGTGAAAGCCATCCTTTTTAAGATAATTTTTAATAGGCAAAACTCTGTTGGCTTGTTTTTCTTGTGTTGAACTGTTAGCTGGTTCTCCCCTATCCTCACCTGCTTAAAATGTACAGTGTTGTGCCTTTGTTTAGCTATTGTCTTTGGTCCGGATGATCAGCTGGTACATAAATTAATGACACTCCATTGAAGCCAGTGTAGCTCTTGATTTATACTAGATGTGGCTGTCTATTTTTGTTGTTGGGGGGAGGCGAGAGAAGTAATTGGTCAATTGTTTTTTGCTTATGTCTGAAGCATTTGGTATTATCCTTCTTTCCTAGAGAGTGTCTACACTAATCAGTATGGAATACTCCTAGGGGAAATCTGCCACTGTGTAAGTGCAGGATTCATATTCCCTGCAGATTTTTTTTCTCTGGAGAATATAGATTCTGCTGAAGTGGTGCCACAGTTACACCTTTTGCCCACCAGGGGCTGTAGCACCATAACAGAGGGCAGAAAAACAGCAGAGAGGATACATTCCTTATAGAGGGGCAAGGTGAGGAGGCAAAGGATAGATAGAGCAGTTCACATCAGGCTGCTGAGGGGTCACGGACCGTGTTTTAGAAGGGGTAGTAATGGGGAAAGACTGGGGCATTGGCTCAGGAGCTAGTGGGGTAACCACATAGAGACAGGCTGAATGGGAGTGGAGACTGCAGAGCCACACTGGGGTGGAAAAAGTGGGTGTTGAATTGGGATTGGGCTGTTGTGCCTGACAGCAGTTAGGGGTCTGTTCTGGTCTGCATGGGGGAGGCTCTCTAAAAATCCTTCCCCATCTGCCGCCACCCCAAAAACTGTTCCATATTTCTCCCATCCACCCTCAGGTTCACCCCAAGGCTCCTTCCCAGCAATTACTTCCCTCTCCTTCAGCTCTTCTGTTACCCCTGACTCCCCCAGGCCTTTGCACTGCTTTGGAGGGGGGCAGGAAATATGTTTTAGTATGGTAGTTTAAATGAATTACCATTCAAAGTTCTATATTAATGTCTAATAAGGAATCTATTTGGCAAAAAAAAAATCTTAATTTTTTTTGTCTGTATTGTTACAGTCATACTTGCTAACAGATATTTTGAAATAAATTCTCAAAATAACTGAAACTGGCATGGTTATATTGTATTATTTTGACAAATGTGCAGGATTTTGCAGCACTGTAAAATATGATGTGCATAACTTTTAAGTTTTGAAACAGAATTTTTAATTTTTTGGTGCAGAATTGCATCAGGAGTAATATACTCTGAAAAGTCAATGGTCAGCCTCAGGGATCTCTTCAGTGGTACATTCTGTTTTGTTAGCACTATTGAGCACTATCAATTAGGAGCTTAGATACCAATGATACACAGTATCAAACCTAGCCAGCAATGTTTGTAACCTTTTGTTTTCATGCAATTTTTTTGTTCCAGACCACTCCTAGGAAAGTTAGTTATATCTGATAGTTTACAGTATACATGAGATCTGAGTGTGTTAATCTGTCTGATTTGTTTTGTTTTCACTTCAGAGTGGCAGATTTAAAACTAAAGAAGCCATAAAGAGCTTAATTTACAGGAATGCAATAGAAGAGAAAAAGGAATGACTACATAAATGCAATATAATAGTATTTCATTTGTTATTAGGAATTTAATTAAAAGGAAATACATTGGTTTTAAAATTATGTATTTAATATACTAAAACTGTGTAGTCTGATTATGACTTATTGATTATAGCAACTTGAGGTTGCTAAAAACCATGTTGCTTAGAGATATTATTGATTTTGTTAACTTTTCTCTTGTCTTTCAGAGCTAATGAAGGTGCAGGGAATTTTAAGGTGTGGATGTGACTTGAATTTATTTTCTTTTACATTTTACTTTGGGGAATTTGCATAACTTAAACCTAATTTAATGTAGCTCATCCATGTTTGCCTTGCACTGAAAGTACACCTGAAGACAGTCTGGAGTTTTACCCAGTGGAGAATAAAGTGATATTGGGTTGCATTGTACATTAAAATCCATCATTGCATAATGTCACTGGGTGTGGAGAGAGGAGACTACAAAGTCAGGAAAATAATATTTTAGTGTGGGAGAATGGAACATAATAAAATTGATTAGTCTAGCTTGTTGCTTTACACTGTCTCTGGGGCTACATCTACACTTGCACCCTCGTTCGAACTAGGGATGCAAATGTAGGTGACCGAAATTGCTAATGAAGCGGGGATTTAAATATCCCACCATTTTTTGAGGAGTAACGTTAGTTCTAACCAAGGGGTTTGATTTCAACTGATGCGGCCCGGAGCGCACTTCCTGGTTCGAACAGCTGGCGATCGGAATAGTGCGCGGGCGAAATTATGCTAATGAAGCACGGGATATTTAAATCCTGCTTCATTAGCAATTTCGGTCACCTGCATTTGCATCCCTAGTTCGAACTAGGGTGCAAGTGTACACATACCCTGGAAGATGAGTGTCCTTCTTGTCTGTGCCTTTATTTGGAATTCTGCCCAAGGGAATAGTTGTGCCCAGAACATTGGAGATTTGTGTATTTAACTCTTTGATTTCTTCTGGAAGAGGTAATTTATAACGTGTGTTAGTGTACATGTCAACCAAGAGGTAGTAGAAGATGGAAGGCACAAAGGAATACTTGTACATATTTGCTGGACAGCTAACCAGACTTCCCTGGTTAGTTGCTAGTTCACTTTCACCTTGATCTCTCTCTGTTAAAACATTCATCTCTTTAGTGAATGGAGGCTATTCAATTGAAAAAAAAATACAGCTCTGCAGTACTGCAATGTAAAGTAAACAAAATCTTGCACCTACTGTGCCAAATCGGTATAGTCTCACGGTGTGAAATTGCCCATCTCTTGCTGCCTTCTCCATAATTTGGCAGGCTGTAATTAAGGATGTGCTAAGTGTATCATTTCAGTGTATGAATAAATGCCTTGGAAACAGGCTCTAGCCAAAAAAATACATAGAAATTTAAATTATGTAGTCACATTACATTTTATCTTTCATGGCAGCAGGATGTTAGCAATACAAGGATTGGAACAACACATAGTAGCAGACTGCAGATTTTAAAAGAGAAAGTGAACATGGGTACTTTTAGCATTGATATATGCAATCTTAATGTTTAAGAATGATAGCTAACAGCATGTTACCAACACGTTACATATAAATTGTCTTAATTCTTTCACATTCTTTGCCTCATCTCAGTTTTTAGCTGGGTTGATTCCTGTCCCCACTGCAAACACAAGTCTGAACAGGTGCAACTTAAGTGCAACTATTCATATGTTATAATTTATTAATCATTATGGTAGAGTTTAGCCAACTGAGAACAGGGCCCCACTCTAGTAGGCACTCTATCAACACTGAAATGAGATTGCCCCAGTCCCAAAGAGCTTAGCTGAGCCTGTGTTATTACAGGCATAATAAATATTTGTGCCTGTGACTTAAATCGGAGTAGTTTGGCCCTTCTTGTTCATTGTACTCTTTGCATTTGGAAAATGGTCTGGTTAGTAAATCACAGCTGTCCCTAATTTAATGTAAAAATCTAATTAGATGAATTTCCCTTTGTCCTTTTATCGCATTGAGTGCTGCAGTATGTTCTGTCCATTCTTTGTAGCCACCCAAATCATCAGGCAGTCGGTTAGCATTTTATCTGTGAAAAGATCTGTTAAAAATTCTTCAAGAATGGCATAATAAATGTCATGTTGTTACAGTCCTCCCCATGGAAATACTTGGGAATGACAGTAAAAGCCTCCCAACTAGTCTTGCCCTTGTATTCCTCACTGTGACGCATTGAGTTTAAAATGATTCTGGATTCAGCGAACGCTAATCTAGCCACAGCAGAATCGAAACATCAGTTATAAGAGGCTAAAAAAAAAAAATGGCTAAGTGGGCTAGGAGATACCAAAGGGTTTTATTTCTCAGTGTAGCTCGGAAGTGTGAGTTCATTGGCATGATAAACATTTTAAGTTTCCTTTTGTTTTGCTCACAGATGAAAGAAGGTGCTTAACATACCGTGTAATAGCAATTTAATTTCTGTGCTGTTGTAAATTATGATCAGCATTTTTGTTGCCCGGTAGCTGAAAAGGAAATTGGCATGCAAACTTGAAATTCCGTCATGCTCATGTTGAAGTCAGCGTGGGGTTTTGCTATTGATTAGGATACGAGCAAGACCCTGGGAATCTATTTATTATTTTTGTGTGTGGTGCGTTTCATCCCAAAAAGCTTTAGAAACAGGGCAGAGAGGAACTCAGTCAGAGGTTAGAGGTGTTTTTCCTGCCGGTGTTACTAAAGCCCATAAAGCAAGGGCAAGTGAAGTGAGGTACAGGCAGTCCCTAAGTTACGTGGATCCGACTTATGTCGGATCCGCAGTTACGAACGGGGTTTTTCTCACCCCGGAGGACGGGAGCGGCGGGACACCCAGATGCACCGCGGTCCCGCCGCCTGCATCCTCCGGGGCGAGAAAAGCCCGGTTCGTAAGTGTGGATCCGATGTAAGTCGGATCCGCGTAACTCGGGGACTGCCTGTACCTCTGTTGTTATTCTAGGCTCACCAACACAGCACACTAATAACAGGGTCATAGAAAGTGTTTATAGCAGAGCTGTGAGAGAATGGAATGCCCAGATTCCTAGCACTTTGCTCTAGACCATCCATCAGCATTGCTTGCAGAAAGTTATCCTCCAGTTTTATCTATAATCAACCTTTAATTTGGCACAGTGACTACCAACCATCTTTCTTTTACTGAAAAACATATTACAGGGTAGGAAAAGCCCCACAAAGAAGATGACTGATGCTCTCCTAGTACTGAAAGGCATTCTAAAGTTATATATTTCTCTCTTTCTCTCCTTGTGTAGTGTTTTCTGATTTAAACTCCTATGAGCCAATAAGGAATAGTTAGTGAAGGCAGTGAGTTCAGGTAATTTTCATTAAAATGACATTAAAAACAACACCTTTCCTTTTATCAGTCTGAATGCTATATATATCAAGCTTGATATTGAAAACACAGTGTAGCTGTCTATTCAAAGTATTCCTTTAGGCCATGTCTACACTAAGAAATGGTCAGTTTCAGCAGCGGCTGAATCTGGACGCCAGTTCCGACTTACATACAGATTCAACTTAAGAACAAACCTACAGTCCCTATCTTGTACGTAACCCAGGGACTGCCTGTATATGTTGATTGCACACGACATTGACTGTAAGTTCTGTGTGCTCCTTTTGCATCCAATCAAACCGCTGCTACATTTCAGCTGGCACACCCCACAGATTCTAGGTATGCCACATTTCAGCTGGCACACCCCACAGATTCTAGGTACGCCAGTGCAGTTAGCAAAACTACCCTATCCCGTGAGACCATGTTTGTCACAACAATCTTGCAGCCAACTGAGTTGAAGGAAGGCCCCACCCACTAGCCTGTGTTGTCCATTGATGGGTAAGGGGTCTGTTACAGAAGTGGATGGGTGAGGTTCTGTGGCCTGCAGTATGCAAGAGGTCAGACTTTCTGGCCCTAAAGTCTGAGGCTAATTCCGCCACCTTCAGCTGTAGCTTTAGCTGTAGCTGTAGCTATGAGCGGGAATTGGGTTTGGGCTGGAGTAACCCTTTGTAGAGAATCCTGCATGGAAACACTCATCATTCTTAAGTTGCTTGCAATCTGGTCTTTTTGCAGCCACTGGAAAAGAAGTTTGTGCGCGTTTCAGGAGAAGCAACCATTGGACATGTGGAAAAATTCCTGCGAAGGAAAATGGATCTTGACCCTGCTTGCCAGGTGTGTTACAAAAGAGGCAGACAGACAACATTACAGTCAAGGCTTTTATTTTGTCTTTAACATTTTCAAGTGAGTGATGTATTCAGTGGCTGCTGTTTCACTCTGATCATTGCAGTACATCTCCTGCAAACAAGGCACTTTTGTTGCCATGATACTGCGTCTGGAAGTGAGCCCCACAGCCGGGCTCTACAGACTTGTGTTAGCAGAGCTCTGGCTGACCTGCTAAAAATAGCTGGGTAGACATTGCTGCTCAGGCTGGAATTTGGGCTCTCAGGCCTGCACAACATCAAAGCAATGTCAATACAGCTGTTAACACACTCATCCAAGTCCCCATAACCCAAGTCTGTCAGTCCAGACTGGGGGGCTAGCTATCTGATCCAGCATAGACATACCCTGAGAGACCAGGGGCAGAGTCAGAGCATTCATCTAATCCAGTAAGCAAACACCTAAAAGCTGGGATATAGCGTGTGCCCCAGGGGATGATACAAGATATAACTTTCCCCATTCAATGGCAGTGCTTTTTTTTAAATTTTCTGATAGTATTTTCTGTCTGTCTTTTAATTTTACATAGTGCTTGACAGGAGGTGGAGTACATTCAACAAAAGCCCAAAGACATTACAAACAAAAGGCACAGACAAGTAGGAGGGAGCGGGGGAGGATATAAGAGCAGAATTATAGGCAGGAATCAGGTTTAGGTGAACACAGCAAGGCTGATCTGAATGTTGAAGGAAGATTAAAGGGTAGTGAGGGAAGATGGTGATTTTGGAGGGGGCGGTGCAATAAAAGGGTGTGGGTGTTTGTAAAATATATAAATAGAGGAACACTCAAATTTGGTGCACCAGGATTTAAATGCCCAGTTCTTATTGACGTCAATGAGACTCACACAGCTAAAACCCTATGTGATTTGTGGGCAACAATTCCAATTATTCATCTAGGAAGGCTGCAGAAATTCTGTAATGCATGAATTCTCTGTCCAGCTGATGACAGGCAACTGGAAAATCCAGCTGCTGTTGATAAGAATAGGCAAACAGCAGCAATTAAGTGATGATCTTAGAGTTCTGTTTGTTTCTCTCGTTCCCTTTTCGAAGGCAATAAAGCATGACTGTTTGTTTTATTCCAGCCGTGAGTCTTTATTCATGCTGTTTGCTATCCCATGGTGATGGTGCAAATTGGGTATGAATTATTCATCATCCTGCAGAAACAACCTAGTTACATGTACAGGTTCCCTCTCAGTAAGAACATAGCTTCCCATTATAGATGGTACTGTTTGGGAATCCTAAATAAATAACATTTTTCTCAGATGTGAAGCCGCAGTTCAGTTTAGGCATGTCTTAAAAAAGGCATCATGTTTGGGTCCTAGTATTCTGAAGACTCAGTGCATCCACAACTCCAGTGGAAGCTGCAAGCTCTCATCTTTGAAAATCAGGCTGATGTTGTTTTACAGAGCGATTAAAATTAGAAGCAAATCTAAAATTCTCGTAGCGTGAAATGCAGTGTTTTTCCACTTCCCGTGTCCTAATGCATGTTCTGGTGTAAAATAGATGCCGAGTGTCACCCCAGGGTTCATCACCTATCATTGGGGAACAAGCTGATTTCTGTACAGTGTTAGCTGACTGTTTACCAGCTGGACTCTTACAGCCATTATGCAATAACTAAAGCATTTTAAAGGGCTGACCAAAAAAATCTTTTGCATGCTGTGCGTGGGGGAGTCTGGTTTCCAGTGTCACTTCCTTAGATACTTTAGAAGTGTCACACAGAACATGTTCTCCTTTCCTTGGGCAATGGCTCTGAACCCTTCCAGACTTCTCCTTTCAGGAGTCTGATTTGGCTTGTGTCCTTCAAGTTTCACCTCCCTTAAAACGACTTGTTTACAAAATCAGACATAAAAATGCAAAATTGTCACAGCACATTATTACTGAAAATTTGTTTGCATTCTCGTTGTGACCACATAATTATAAAATAACTCAATTAGAATATAAATATTGTACTTACATTTCAGTGTATAGTGTATATATAGCAGTATAAACAAGCCGTATGAAATTTTACTGACTTTGCTAGTGCTTTTTATGTAACCTATTGTAAAACAAGGCAAATACCTAGATCAGTGGTCCCCAACACGGTGCCCGCGGGCGCCATGGCACCTGCGGGGGCATTTGTGTGTGCCCGCCAAGTGCTCGGGGCTGGCTTGGCCCCGGGCACATGGCACATGGTGAGCGCCGGCACCGGGAGCGCTGCGGATTGGCCGACCGCGCTCTGGGCGCGCGGTGCTTGGCGGGGGGGG